CTACATCTGCCTGTTCATTACAATTTAAATTCGTCGTAAATCAGGCGCTTCTGTGGCTTTTTAAATGACCCCTTGTCATTCTCTGTAATTAACATGTCATTGCATCAAATTCGGGATTCTTATTTTTATTTAACATATTTTAGTTTTCCACTATTATTTTTTATTTATTATTATCTTATAAACGATTTGATTTTTTTTTTTGCTTTAAAAGGTTTTTTTTTTTCTGTGATCCGATCCGTGATCCGATCCGCGATCTGATCCGTGATCCGATCCGTGATCTGGTCCGTGATCCGATCCGTGATCCGGTCCGGTCCGGTCCGATCCAGATTTTGTCGACGCCGGTACTCTATAAAGAACTCTTAGGTCATAAGAATTCATGATCATTAAGTTCAGGACTATCTTACTACTATAACTGGATTTCAGAATTCAACTCATCCTGTAGCTAGTTAACCAGAATTCTCAATAGTCTACATACATGTACAGTTTACATTTAACATGCATGTTTGAAATTTGTATATAATTATTTCTTGTTTTTACATGTATTTACTGTACTCCAGTTCACAAGCTCCTGAAGGTCTTGTTTTTGTTCCAAACACAGAGAAATTAATACTTCTTTGGGATTTAAAATGGAAAGGAAAACCACAAACTAATGTTTAGGTGGCCTCAGAATGGAAGATCAAGGAGTACAGAATCCTCAAACCTCTCTAGTGAATAATTTTTTCTTCCTTCAAATGAGGCAAAAACATTGGTGTGCTTTCAAGTGAGTTTTGAATCAGTGTTACGTTTGAATACTGATCATGGATTTAGGGCAGCTTCCTAGACGTGAGAAAACAAAAATGGTAATGTACAGTATTACTTCGAAATTGAATTCAACTTTTGGAAGGACTGGTAAAGCCACAGCCGACAAAATGACTGCAAAATGGGTTGGCAAAAACTCAAGCATTCGCTTTAGCATGAAGAATTAATTTGAATATGCTGTTGATGCAATGAAGCACCTCTGTCAAATTTTTTTACTTTCAAATAGGTTTCTTTACCTCACCTTGGGTGAAAATTTATTGTTATTGAACTTCCTGTCACGTTTCTTTCATTTGGTTGCCTTTATTTAGAAATTTTAGGTTTTAAATGTGAACAATATTTTAGATTATTAAACTTCCACTTTGGATTTCTGCAATTAATTTACTTTTCAAATTTAATTTTCAAATTGGTTTTTACATGTGTCTTTCGCCTTTATTTTCTGCTGTTTTCTCAAACATTAGTCTAGCTTTATAGTACAAGAATCAAAATTCTTTTGTATTTGGTTTCGCTTTGTCCTCCGAAGGCAATAATTAACTCATTTATGCATATTCAATTTTCTCAGCTTCTAGATCTGTTGGGCAAAGAAATAAGATGATTTCTTGTTTTCTTATCAGTTTTGTTCATCAGGTTGAGTTCTTTTTGGTTATATTCTTCAATATTTTGGCCCTTCATTTTGAAACCTGATCTTGTGTCTGTGGTTACTGTATATATTTATTTTACTTACTTTTTATATTTTATTTTATTTTATCTTATTTACCACACTACAAGAATATAATTATGAAAAAACAGGAAAAGAGAGAAAAGGACATGATTACAAGAGTGGCAAGAGGCCTAAAGGAAATGAGGAAACTTATGCTAACTAGGCCTCCTGAATTACAAAGTTACTGACATAAATTGACATTTGGGCGACAGATACAAAACAAGTTATAATCAAAAAACAAAAATTAATAAGTACTCAATATCTTCTACAAAACTAAACAGTTATAAAGGCTAGAAATAGTTATTACCAGTCATTATTTACAAAATTACAATTATGATACATATGCAAAGACTATTAATAAGTTAAAGAGAAAGTACAAAATTACTCAGACCTGAATATTCCCAACAAAAGTACAGTGTATATGTATATATAAAGACAACTAATAGTTACTACAGATAAATGTCTTAAGCGTTTTTTTTTTAAGGAAACTGTAGAGATTGGATTGACGATATCAGAATTAACAGAGTTGTAAAATTTTGCTCCTTTGTAAAAAACAGCAAACTGTTTGATATTCGTCCAACAGAAGGACAAATGAAATGCCAGAGAGTTTCTTGTATAATAGGAATGTATTTGTCTATCTAAGGTAAACTTACACACAAATTTGGAGGGTAGAATGTGGTTTTGATAGGAGTACATGAATAGATACAGTGTATATGGTTTATTTTTGTGCTTATGCTTGCTCTGAAATATTAAAAAAAAAATGCCAGAAAACTAGGGGTAGGTCGCATGCAATTTTATGCAGGCATGAATGGGTTAAACCTCACAAAAGAAATACTGTTAGTGTGGATATCGTATATATTACCTACAGTACTGGTTACTTGTGATCCATCAGTTGAAGTGGCATTATTAGCAGGAGGTTGCTGCTCAGAAACATGGTACTCATTGCCACCAGGAACAGATTCAGTTGTTTCTACAAAAAGATGGGATTGTACTCTTATTAACTCTTAATTAAATTAAGATATAATGGTTTGGTAATAATTTTTTTGTATATCAACACCAAGGAAAATAAGCAGCATGTGAGAAAAGAAACAAACTGTTTAATTGGCTTAAGACAAAATAACCTCACTATGTGCCCCCCCCCCCCCCCCCCCCCC